TCAACATTTGTTTTAGATCGTGTTTTAGAAAATGTTCAAGACTAGGCGAGAAATTCTTTCTAATTTCGCTTATTATAGATAGATATGTTTTTTTTTTAAATTCTAATATTAGTTTCACCTGAAGAAAGATTTTAGTTGATTCGTCGTCTATAAAATAATTGTTTTTTATTATATTAAATGAAGATCTTCTATACGAATCATCTTTCGGTCAATAATATTTGTTGATCTACTTCAATTTTTATAATTGTGATTAGTTATTTCTATATATAGATAGATACAGTACGAGCTCACGATCATATATATAACAAAGGAAAAGTAAAACAACTATAACTATATTAGCTAAGATATGATTTTCTATTAGATGATTATTTACCAACATTTATTGATAAACTTGAAGATCAAGAAGAGATTGAAATGATCGACCTATTTTATGGGTTCGACCAGGTGAAGAATATCTACCAACAGGTGAACATTAAAAATCTCATCCAAAAAAACCTATGAGAAATCAATTACATTATTTAACATTTATTGGTCGTGATACTGATCCAGGTGAACTACTTGTTGAAGATCGCAGGAGGCCACATTGTGATCATTTTTATAGTAATGGACTTGAAACAAGAGCACGTGTGGATGTTGGAAGATCGTATGTTATATAAATAAATATACGATTTTCTTAGTAGTTTCGTTTATTTATTTAAGATGAAGAGTTAATCGAATAGTTAAAGATGTTGTTTGTTTTCATGGCGAAGATTTTGAAAAAATTGTTGAACGATTAAAAATTGATATATATCAACAAGCTATTTCTCAAGTAAGTTTCAAAGAAAAAAAAAAAAGGAAGAATCACGGATATTGTTTAAATAATTTATCATAGAAACAACGATAGAGAACTGTCATTTTCACCATTAGAAAGAGAAGAGAAGAACCTACCAAATATTTGATTGATCAACATATTGGACTAATGAGATTAATTGTTGAGAGAGGATTAATAGAGAGGAATATTTATTTTCTTACGATCTCGGATAATCCGAAGAAGAATCTATCCTAACGTTGAAATCATCTGATCAGAGTTGTTCACTAGTTTATAGGAAGTGTAGAAAGAAAACAAGCGTTTTAAAACCTGATATACCTTTTACTGTCAACAAATGAAGGAACCTCCGACGGACGGATTGTGTTGGGGAGAGGATGAATCACAGTGGATTTTCTTATTTTTTTTCTGCCATCCGATCACCACCAGGGTTTGTTTAAGAAATCTGAAGGAAAGAATCCAATTCGATTGAATTTTGAATAGTAAAGTGCGCGATGACATTCGTTTTTTTTCTAAACAATGTGTCACAAAGTATTGAAGTTGTGAATTTTTTTATTTAAATTAGCAAGGAGAGTTTTGATATGAAATAATCTAGGATGATCACTATCTCTTTCCTCATTCTTGAAAAAATTTCAACGTTTTTTTCGTTTGTTTTGTTGATCAATTCTCAAAAAAGACTCACTCACCTCTCCCTCTCGAAATTCAGTCAATTGTTAGCGAAAGTCTTTCATTCGACTTCCTCAATAGAGATTATCGAGTTCGAGTATGAAAATTTTGTGTCGACGAGTCACAGAGATTCTCGGAGCTAATGGGCGAGCTTTACACCTAAGTGATCGTCGACCTCGTCTCACAAATCTTACAGACATGAGAATACTCTCGACCTATATCAACTAGAATAATTTGCGGGGGAGAGGAGACCATTTTTTCGAAATCGACAAAAAAAAAACAAAATTTGCGAAGATTGTCGGTGACTCTGACCCACTCGGTACATCCCTGACAGATCACTATTAATTAAAAAATTTAGAATTTTGACGGTTAGATAAAATGAAAAAAATCAAATCTGAATCATTGTTATTAGATATCGAGATAATTATTAGATATCGAGATAATTATTAGATATCGAGATAATAGTTTGTCATCAGTGTAGATTGTTAAGTCCTAAATCTAATAGTGTTATCTAAATATTTGTTAGATGTTAATTTAAATTGTGAAATGATTTAATCCGATTGATTTTCTTCTAGTGTTTAGAATGGTCTGATGATGATAAATTTAATAAATAAGATCGTCAAGGTATTGTTTATGTTTGTGTTACCACTTTATTATAATGTTAATGAAAAAAAAATCTTATTTTATTTTCTGATTGATATAGATTGAATTGTTTTATTTCTATATCTATATTAAGGATATTTTTTTTATTCCAACAAATTTAATTGATCAATTTGATTGATTATCATCTGTAAGATGAGTTGCATGGGATTGCAGAGTTAAACATAATTATCTAAATGAGCTAGATGAAGAAGAATATACTCGTATTATATAGTCAAATATTTGATAGATAGGAAAAGAAAATCTTTATCTATATAGAAAAGATTTTCTTTTATTCAATAACCTATAGTTATTCTCTTACTTCGACCTTTTTTTCTTTCTCCATGCATTTGTGTGTGGGTGTGTAATGATTTTTTTTTATTTCATCATCTAGTTTTTTTTTTCAAGACTATTTTGTTTTTGATAAATGAGATAAAGATCTATAAAAATGAAGAGAAGAAATTCTATTGTTATTTTTTTATCTCGTAATGAGAAAGAATTATTCGATATTTAGCCAAATGAAGAAGATGAAAATAACTAATTAGGGCAAGTTAATAAATCTATAAGGATGTCTATATGATAGAAAGAGTATAATCATATAAAATATATCTATATGTTATTTGTTTCTATTCAGAAAGAAATTAATTCAAGATGAAAATTGAATATTTATTCGTCATAGATTTGTTTTCTTTGACGTTTTTTTCTTTTCAAATGGATGTTGACAGTCTATTAAAACGATTTTATGATCAACCAATATATTTACATTGGGTTTTTTTTGTTGAAACTAAATAGAAATTTTAACCTATTGTTTTCTATATAAAAAGAGTAACGAAAGAATATTGAACGATTTGAAAATCTAAGAGTTGTTTTCACCTCAATCAATCGTAAGAATGGAAGTTAAATACTTGATTGTAAAGTAGTGGAACCTTCTTTTTTTATACGATTTCGATTATTGAATAACACACGCAAAATGCAAGATAATGGGATGCGCTTTTCAGTAATCCATAGGGCAAACTCTAAGATATGTATTCATAAGCAAAGTCTCTTGCCAGAAAAATTCTGACAGTTGGTTTTTTATTAGAGAATTTTTGAAGAACAACTTTCGATTTGTGATATCTGTCCTACGAACCTATGAACTTTTTTTTCTCGTAAATAGATAATCTTGTGTGTCCTCTACAGAAGTTTATTTAAGTCTGTAGACAACACTCAAGACTAAACACCTACAAAAAAAAACTATCAATCATTTTGTCTGTCACTTATCAGAAATCCAACGTTTTTTTTTTGAAAGATTCTTTAAAAAAAGCGATCTAGGGAATTTTTCTGAGAAGAAGTTTTGCTTATAAATAGATGCTTTTCAGTTTTGGTTATGATATCGATAGTAGTACTACCGTTTCTGACAGCTTCATTTCAGCACACACACCTACAATTCGACGACATCGATCACAATTGACCAATGACAAATCTAATCAGTAGAGTAATTAGAGCTCATCGGATAGATCTTCTTTCCTTTGGATACGACTCTGAAATAGCCAATCAGAATTTGATTTATAATATATAAGATTCGAATTAAAAAATTTCATATAAAAAAAAAAGTATGCTTTGCATCCGCATCTGAAAATTTTATTGACCCGATCAACTCTATATATGACACCAATTCCCATTCATTTGACATTTATCTAAAGCATCAACTGGCAAGAACTATCCACAATTATAAAATAATCATATACCTTATACGAAATTTCTCTCAGAGTTCTATATGTTCTTCTTAAACATACCAACAAGAACCGAACAATGAGATGTTCTATACAATATAAAAAATAATCGTTTCCTATATAAGGAACCGATCCTCTATTGATCTAGATCGGTTTTGCTGATATTTCTAGAGATAGATATTCTTATTCGTAGAACATTTTCAAACGTTTTTATCAAAGTAACTATTGTGTTTTCCATGTTAGGATGAGTCTCTTATGCGTTATACCAATTTCATTGATATGATTCCGCTCTTAATACATCCACTCAGTTCAACAAATAGTGACTCTTTTCGGTCGAAAAAATGGTAGGAACTTGGAATTTCGTCATAAAAATCATTGAAATAGATCCTATCAGCCGAAATCCTTTGATCAGGAAAGGTCCCTAAGTGTGACTCATCAATTGAACTGAGATTTTTTCCATAATCAGGTTCCAATGAGGCTAGTAGAAACGGTTGAGAGTTCGTTCCCAAGTAATTAGAATTCCACTAAATTTTTTATCTCTGAGAGAATATTTGTGAAAAATCGAATTAGAAAATATCGTCGATAGGTAAGTCTCGTGTAGATTAGAATGGTCGGAAAGATTTCATTCCGAAAAGATATTCTCTTTTTTATAGATTGAATATCTAAGAATAATCATATACGACAATAAAAAGTAAGAAAATTCCATCGTTTCAACATTCGATATCTCAAGAGGACTTTAACGGGCATTCGAATCTCTAGAGAAGTAACCTATCGACGAGATTTTCTAATTCGATTTTTTCAAAAATATTTTATCAGAGATAAAAATGTTAGGAAACACTATAATAAGTTGAGAAGAATGGCAGATTACAACAAACTTCTATAGTCTTGTTAAAGACTTATCTTTTATTTAATCTCAGTTTTTTTTCTTTGGTTTGTTGATAAGAGCTCTGTCAATCTACAATAGTTGAATAAATTCTTCTAGATTTATTTCATTTATTAAAAATTGAAGATAATCATTTATTATTTTTAAGAATTAATTTTCAAAGAATTGATTTATAATGGTTTAATATTGAAAATAATAATTATACTCATTTTATTATTCAATATTTAACAAAAACGTTTTACATTTAACATTTTTCTCCAATTATTATTCAATAAGAAGAATAAAATCATTTTTTATTTTAATAAATATCAAAACAATTCAAAGATAATAATCATATTATAGATATTAGTTCAATACTAGCACAACACAATAATTCGTCTAATATTTATTTATTATAAATCAATGCATCTAGTTTATTTACGTGAATATATTATTATTAACAAATCATCTTGATTTACGTTTACCATTAAAATCTACAAAAAATATATTTATAAATGAATAATAAATATAGTTTATCAAACAACTGGTAAAACATATTTTATATCAACAAAATAGATTTTTTTTGTGTACTCAAAAAGTTCCTAGACTCGACGAATCGGTCAGTGTGTCCGTCCGGCCGTCCGTTTACACGATAACTTTTGAAAAGAGAGTCAGATCACGATGAAATTTTCTACACAGTTCAGTCTTAACAATATCTTGGTCGAGAGAAGAAGATGAGAAGGATTGGCCGAGCCCTTCCTGAGTTATTGCAAAAATACTCATTTTTCCCTACACCTTCCCTATGGAAAGATCAGCCCATCCCCACTTTCGTAAAAAACTTTTCCTTGAATAGTCAACTAAAACCCCAACTATTATATACCATTCGATAGAGAATTTCAAGAGCTATAAAATGGTATATAAAACATAAAGAAACAAGAAGGTTGACTCATCTATCAGAAAGATAATTAAAGAGAACTAGGTTATGTTTTTCTCCACGATCCAATTGATCCACGTTTAGAGCTCTATCTTCCGATCACAGTGATAATGTTTCGAGGTTTTCTGGGGTGGAGAACTCGAATCTGTACTCCATTTCTCTCGAAATACTATTGGTTGAATAGTGACCAATAGAAATGAAGTTGTAGGAAAAACGACTTGGTTAGGATAAATGAAGGATAAGAGTTGAAATTTAAGCTGTATTC